TTTCTACTCGGGAAATGCACACCGGCATGCTTTTTTTACCAAGCTGGTAAATTTTTAACGACTTTTTTCGGCTCAAAAGGCCATGAAAAAGTTTACAACTGAATTTTAGGAATTGCATTTAGTTGAAACTAATTTTACCAGTAAATGCAAGGCTATCAAAAGAAATTCTAGATCAATGTCAATATTCTGATAACAACACCGCAACAGTGTGTTTATTTATTCCACTTTTATGGACAACAAAAAAACCTATAATATCACTTAACGTCCTGAATTTTGCAGTCAATATCAGCTGCCATGCAAATATCGCGGTTTACTTTTTAAATACATGCTTTTTGAGGGTTAACGTGTTTTGAGAATAGGGAACGATGTAAGTCTCTCTTTTCATTTCAAGTTGTTCTAAAATTTGGGAACCATGACTTGCTTGCTTCATTATCTTTATCCAAATGTACAGGGCGTGTTAAGGTCGGCATTGCGTGTGGTCAACTCATTAAGCACTTTCCGATTGGTCTTAATGATTCTTCGTATCACAAGAATATTCATTACTGAACTCGTCAAACACGGAATGATATGCACACTGAGCGCGGCTTCGCCGTTAGCAATTCTCTTGGTACAAAAGTTCAGTTATCAAAATAGAAAATTTGAACTATATATAAATTTTTGGTTGAAATGCAAGATGGAAAAGAAATAACCATAAAATATTCCATTAATAACTGCGTGCTGCTGTTGTTATAATTTTTTCCGTCCCGTCACGTTAACGCTTTTGTTATGGCTAAAAATGGCGACCCGTTCTGGAAGACTTCACACGTACATGAAGATCGAATAAGGGCGCCGTTCCAAGATTCTGAAGACTAACTTTTACTTGACAGGAAATATATATATATATATATATTTAAGTAAGCGTTGACATGAATTTCTTAAATTCTATTTTTGTTTTTTTTGTTTTTTTACTTTATTGAAATATATTTTTGTTCTGTTTATCATATCCGGCCAATATGTAGTGTTTGTTTGGCAGGAAGCCTTGGTAACGCACGTGTAATACGGCCGAGTCATCATGCGGCCGCATATGCAGCGGAAGAAATAAAATGCTTATAACTGTATCATACTAAACAACAAATAAATGTATCCAGGCAACAGTTAAAATGAAAAATAAAGCACTGACAAGAAACAGCAAGAAAGTCGCGTCGAGAACCTTAAAAAATAGTCTAACGTAGTCGGAACTTCAATGTCGACAGAAAAACTGAAAGGGATAAGACGCGATTTAGGCCCCGTCGGAGCGATTTTAGAACGGAAATTTCACTCTGAAAGCGAATCAGAGGTTTTCGGTCCACACTGCGCCGGAAAACTTAAAAACGCAATAATCGCCAATTATTATCGTGTGATCATCGTCTTCAAAATGTTTTCCCTCCACACGAAAACGAAAACGAAAACGAAAACCCGGCGTTTTCAAATTCCTCCAGTTTCAAGAGCGTTTTCGAAAAGCCCCGTTTCGTTCCAGTGTTGACGGTAGGGCTAACCTTAGAGATAAATCTGCGTCAGTTCAAATTTCTCCGGCCTAGTGTGGACGCTGCCTTAGACAGGTTGCGTGAATTGGTTAAGTAGAAGAAATTGGTGAACATTTTAAAATTTATATTAGAAATAAGGGAGAAGAACAACCATAAGGCTTTTATCTTTTTTGATATTAACTAACAATTAAATTATGAGTCCAATCAACTATCACCTTATAGTAATCAGATAGCGATCTAGCGAATGAAAGAACTGTTTCAGTAGAGCTCTTAAAAATAGCTCTCAATTGACGATTCCAAATTATTTCTTTACAAATTAAGTATTATTTGACTTCATGCTTTAAACTTGCGTGCGAATTGAATTGTTTGAAACTTGTAGCTCTTTATACTCGCTCCTCGCTTCATTGAAAAATTTTGAGGTTTAATGTCGCATAATGGTCAAGTTATTTCCTTTAGTGTTATTGAGATTTGAATCGTCTAGTAATATCTATAAATCTTCTTCGAAATATCAGAGAAACGAGAAAGTCCATTATGTGGACTGCTCACCAAATATAGACGATTCTTATAGGGCCTGTTCGGACATGATGCTGGATATTGCCAAGTTTTTTTTGTGTGTGCGTATTTTTGGACCAAAGCGGAGTCGAGGTCCTTAAACACGCAAAAAAAAAAGAACGAGGCCAATATCCAGCCATCTTGACCGCGCACAGGCTTGGTCAATAAGGGATTTATTACATGGGTAAAAGAACCAATTTCGTGCGGGACCGCTGGCGGTTAATCAAAAGTGGGCACCATCTTGCCAGCTCGAGTAACCAATCACAAAGCAGAATTTTGTTCATTTTGGTTCATACTGTACGATAGCTTAGCCAATCACATTCTAGAAGCAGCATTTGCATTAGGAAATGGACGTTTAGTTTTTAGCAGTTCCAAAGGTTGTGTTTACAGTCGTTAATGTATATATGTTATTGGCCGGCTGGGAGGTCCGTGTAGAGAAAAACTGTGACCGAGGTCTTGAAAATGCTGCCCGAGGCCGCAGAAATTCTCTCAAATACAACAACGATCAGAGAGGTAAACTCGACTGAAATTGGCTCATTTTTTACTTAAAATTGTACAGAGAGACACACACAGGAATACGCGCCATTACAGCGCCGAGCTACAAAAAGCCAAACAAACTCTCACAACTTCAAAAAACTCAATTGAATTTACCTACAGTGACTTTCCTTGCCATTTAAAGGTGAATAGAGATAAACTTGCGTTGATTAATCGTCTATGGAAGTGTAAAAAGGGCG